GAATAATATAAATTGAACATTATTTTTTCTATAATTTTAAGCATGTGGCAGGCAGTAGTGATCTCTTAGTGGGGACAACAAATCTACCTTATTTGTAAATAAATCAGAAATCAATGATTACTTTGTATGTGTAGAAATGGAAAGATTAAAGACCATGTTCAGGCAAATTCTTTGGTATAAATTTTTATTTGTGAAAGTTATCCATTTTTGAGGCAGAAGAGATTCAATTTTCAACCTAAATAATATGTTTGACATCATTCCAATATCTCAAAATCCCTGAAAAACTTTATTATTGTCATGTTTTATGCCCTAACGTCCCCATATTTAAAAAAATGTATTTATTTTCAAGGATCGGACACTTAATAATAATAAATAATATTGAAAGGACGAGGATTTCGAGGTGGTTCGGACAAGAAACTGAGGAGAATATGGTTCGGACTAGAGATTGATGTGGTTGGCCTTCCTCCCCTCCCTTAAGTCAAGCCGAAGATCTTGCAGCTGTCAATCACGTGACACAAGCTGCCGTTAGAGTTGGGTGAGGGAGGGAGTCCAGAGTTTCTCAAATAGTAATCACCGCCACCCAAATCTGTTTTGCGGCAAGCGCGCTCCTCAATTGGTAATCTCCACCACCTCAAATAGTAAAAAGCATTAAATTAAATCATTTATTTCTTAGAAATAAGACCATATTGACCTCTTTTAATGGCCCTATGGTGTACAATATTGTTAAAGTTTTTTTTTTTGCTCCTTAGTTTCGAAAATAAATCAATAAATATGCCACACTAAGTGCTAGAAATATATCACATTTTTTAGTTTCAAGTTTTGCTTTAAGAATGTTTGCGGCATTATGATTTTCCTCTGAATGTTGTTTTAAACTCCTTATATAGAGAGGAAACTCTAACCCATTATTAGTGGACTAAATACTTCATTTTCAGTAGTTGGTGTGATGAGACTAATTTTTTTAAATTTTATTTTCTTTCTATGCATATAATTAGTTTTGTTGTAGATGTTGAACTCGAGTAGGCGAATAAAAAAATCTAAACACTGTAAAGGTTTTTTGAAAATATCTTTTAAATGGAGATGGATATTACTTTGGTTGGGATGAGATAATTTTTAGTAAATTTTAAGTACTTTCTATGCATATAATTAGTTTTGTTGTAGATGTTGAACTCGAGTTGGTGAATACAAAAATCTACACACTGTTAGGGTTTTTGAAAATATCTTTTAAATGGAGATGGATATTACTTTGTGTGGGATGAGATAATTTTTAGTAAACAGGCAGCCTGACCTTTTAGTATCTTGACTCAAATCATGATATGCAGTCATTAAAGTGGCGAATTGGATCTAAGATTCAGCTAAAATGAACAGTGCCTTGATTCTCAGTTTTTGTTGACCAAACAAATCTGAAAATAATTTGAAAATTCAGTTTAAGTCAATACAGATGCCATAAAACCCCGAGAGATGTCTAAAATTGTGTTAAAAGTGCATTAAATTCAAATCACAGAAAACAAAATTTTATGGTGATTACTAATTGAGGTGGTGGAGATTACCAATTGAGGAGTGCGCTTGCCGAAAAACAGATTTGGGTGGCGGTGATTACTATTTGAGGAACTCTGGACTCCCTCCCTCCACTAAGAAGGTATGCAATAAAATCAAGGTTTTCAAATTTTTTTTATTCCAATGCATAGAGTAGGGTTTAGGCCAGGACGGTCAACCGGCTGGTTGATTTCGTTAAAATCAAAAATAATCAATAACTTTTTATTAATTAACATTTTTGAAAAGCCCTTGCAAATGGATTTAATAATAACATGTGTCATATGATATTATTTGTCAATAGTAAAAATGACTATTTTCAACATTTTTCAGACGTACTTTTGAACTTTTTAAAACCCATACCTAACCATTAAAGTTGGAGGTATAATTCTTTTTAATGATCTGGCCTTGAAAATTATCTCAACGTGCAAAATCCTAATCAATATTAGGGTAATTTCCTAGAGAACGATTTGTGGACCCCCCCTTGTCCCCCGCCCCTCCCTTTCAATTTTGTACATTGTTATCATATATATCACATGGAAATTATGGGTCATGTGGCCCCAGCGCTTGGCCCTCTAGCCAGTCCTAGCCGCAGCGCTCAATCCAGAAATGAGCTTAACCTAACCTAACCGTAAAATAATAATAAATGACGTAAATTATTTGCAATTTCATCATGTACAAAATTGAAGAAGAGGGGGGCCGGGGGCATAAAATTGTTCTCTAGGACAGACCCTATATTGGACTAAATTTGGAAGTTGTACATATTTCCTATTTCAGATGCTGGGTCATGGTATTTGGATTGCTGTGCTGGTAAGAGAGTGGGAAACCTGAAAGATAAAACGCACTGTATAATCTAAGGAGAGCAGATCAACTGCGTAAAAGGTATAAAACCATGACAAAATTAACTTTGTAAATAAAATCAATAAGGTTTTAAACTTTTGTGGAAAATTTTAGTGCCCCTTAATTATTAGAGGGGGTTTTATTGAGACATTTGAAACCTTCATCTGATATTTTCATGTTTTTAGATGGAAACATGTTTAATTCTTATAATATCATCCATCATTTCTTAAGCAGAAATGCGTAAAGTCACTTGTGTTAAGAAACCACATGTAAGATAATAAATTTTAACACTTATGTTAATTTTTAACATAATTTAAATTTAAGAATTGTTTTTAGATGCAGTTTGGGTAAAAAAAATTACCCTGAAGATTTCCAACTTTTCATCC